ACTTTAAATTAAATTTAAATTAAATTTATGTTAAAGTTAAAGTTACGTAAAAGATATGGTAATGTTAAGTTATAAATAATTGAAATTTAAAGTTATGTTAACGTTAAACTTATGCTAAAAATAAATCAAATTTATGTTAAGTTTTGCTAAAATTATGTTCAAGTAAATTTAAGTTAAAGTTATGCTATAGGTAAGTTAAAGTTAAGTTAAGTTAAATTTAAGTTAAGTTTAGTAAACGTTATGTTAAAGTTAAAGTTGATGCTTAAAGTTAAGTTAAAGTTCAGTAAATTTAGGGATAAAGTTATGTTAAATTTAAGTTAAAATTACGTTTAGTTAAAGTTAAGTTAAAGTTATGTTAAGTTAATGTTCGGTTTGAGTTAAAGTTATGTTAATGTTAAAGTTATGTTAAATTTAAGTTTAAATTTAGGGTTAAGTTAATGTTAGGTTAAAGTTATGTTAAAATTTAAGTTATGTTAAATTTAAGTCAAAATAAATTTAAGGTTACGTTAAAGTTTATTTAAAGTTAAGTTAAAGTTTAGTTAAAGTAAAGTTAAGATTAAGTTAAGTTAAAGTTAAGTTTAGGTTATCTTATCGTTACCGAACATTAACTTAACATAACTTTAACTTAACTTTAACTAAACGTAATTTTAACTTAAATTTAACATAACTTTATCCCTAAATTTACTGAACTTTAACTTAACTTTAAGCATCAACTTTAACTTTAACATAACGTTTACTAAACTTAACTTAAATTTAACTTAACTTAACTTTAACTTACCTATAGCATAACTTTAACTTAAATTTACTTGAACATAATTTTAGCAAAACTTAACATAAATTTGATTTATTTTTAGCATAAGTTTAACGTTAACATAACTTTAAATTTCAATTATTTATAACTTAACATTACCATATCTTTTACGTAACTTTAACTTTAACATAAATTTAATTTAAATTTAATTTAAAGTTAACTTTAAGTTAAAGTTAAGTTAAAGGTAAGTTAAAGTTAAGTTAAAGTTAAGTTAAAGTTAAGTTAATGTTAAGTAAAAGTTAAGTTAAAGTTACGTTACAGTTAAGTTAAAGTTAAGTTAAAGTAAAGTTAAGTTAAAGTTAAGTTATAGTTAAGTTAAAGTTGAGTTAAAGTTAAGTTAAAGTTACGTTAAAGTTACGTTAAAGTTAAGTTAAAGTTAAGTTAAAGTAATGTTTAAGTTAAATTTAAGTTAAGTTAAAATGAAGTTAAAGTTAAGTTAAAGTTAAGTTAAAATGAAGTTAAAGTTAAGTTAAAGTTGAGTTAAAGTTGAGTTAAAGTTAAGTTAAAGTTGAGTTAAATTAAGTTAAAATTAAGTTAAAGTTAAGTTAAAGTTAAGTTAAAATTAAGTTAAAGTTAAGTTAAAGTTAAGTTAAAGTTAAGTTAAAGTTAAGTTAAAGTTAAGTTATAGTTAAGTTAAAGTTGAGTTAAAGTTAAGTTAAAGTTACGTTAAAGTTACGTTAAAGTTAAGTTAAAGTTAAGTTAAAGTTAAGTTTAAGTTAAATTTAAGTTAAGTTAAAATGAAGTTAAAGTTAAGTTAAAGTTGAGTTAAAGTTGAGTTAAATTAAGTTAAAATTAAGTTAAAGTTAAGTTAAAGTTAAGTTAAAGTTGAGTTAAATTAAGTTAAAATTAAGTTAAAGTTAAGTTAAAGTTAAGTTAAAGTTAAGTTAAAGTTAATTTAAATTTAAGTTAAAGTTAAGTTAAAGTTAAGTTAAAGTTAAAGTTAAGTTAAAGTTAAGTTAAAGTTAAGTTAAAGTTAAGTTAAAGTTAAGTTCAAGTTAAGTTTAAGTTACGTTAAAGTTAAGTTAAATTAAGTTAAAATTAAGTTAAAGTTAAGTTAAAGTTAAGGTAAAGTTAAGTTAAAGTTAAGTTAAAGTTAAGTTAAAGTTAAGTTAAAGTTAAGTTAATATGAAGTTAAAGTTAAGTTAAAGTTAAGTTAAAGTTGAGTTAAAGTTGAGTTAAATTAAGTTAAAATTAAGTTAAAGTTAAGTTAAAGTTAAGTTAAAGTTAAGTTAAAGTTAAGTTAAAGTTAAGTTAAAGTTAAGTTAAAGTTAAGTTAAAGTTAAGTTAAAGTTCAGTTAAAGTTAAGGTAAAGTTAAGTTAAAGTTGAGTTAAATTAAGTTAAAATTAAGTTAAAGTTAAGTTAAAGTTAAGTTAAAGTTAAGTTAAAGTTAAGATAAAGTTGAGTTAAAGTTAAGTTAAAGTTAAGTTAAAGTTAAGTTAAAGTTAAGTTAAAGTTAAGTTAAAGTTTAGTTAAAGTTAAGTTAAAGTTAAGTTAAAGTTAAGTTAAAGTTAAGTTAAAGTTAAGTTAAAGTTAAGATAAAGTTGAGTTAAAGTTGAGTTAAAGTTAAGTTAAAGTTAAGTTAAAGTTAAGTTAAAGTTAGGTAAAATTTAAGTAAAAGTTAAGTAAAAGTTAAGTTAAAGTTAAGTTAAAATTAAGTTAAAGTTAAGTTAAAGTTAAGATAAAAATGAGTTAAAGTTGAGTTAAAGTTAAGTTAAAGTTTAGTTAAAGTTAAGTTAAAGTTAGGTAAAATTTAAGTAAAAGTTAAGTTAAAGTTGAGTTAAAGTTAAGTTAAAGTTAAGTTAAAGTTAAGTTAATGTTAAGTAAAAGTTAAGTTAAAGTTAAGTTAAAGTTAAGTTAAAGTTAAGTTAAAGTTAAGTTAAAATTAAGTTAAAGTTAAGTTAAAGTTAAATTTAAGTTAAAGTTAAGTTAAAGTTAAGTTAAAGTTAAGTTAAAGTTAAGTTAAAGTTAAGTTAAAGTTGAGTTAAGTTTAAGTTAAGTTTAAGTTAAGTTAAAGTTAAGTAAAAGTTAAGTAAAAAATAAGTTAAAGTTAAGTTAAAGTTAAGTTAAAGTTAAGTTAAAGTTAAGTTCAAGTTAAGTTAAAGTTACGTTAAAGTTAAGTTAAATTAAGTTAAAATTAAGTTAAAGTTAAGTTAAAGTTAAGTTAAAGTTAAGTTAAAGTTAAGTTAAAGTTAAGTTAAAGTTAAGTTAAAGTTAAGTTAAAGTTAAGTTAAAATGAAGTTAAAGTTAAGTTAATGTTACCGTTACTGGTAACAAATCAGTCAGTCTTTCCGGATATTTAACAGTCCATGAAGTAATTTGTTCGAGAGAGTTATAATTTCCCTAAAGAGTAACAATCAAAGTTTACATAATGTTCAGCGTAGTTATTTTAGGTTAACTTACGTTTAGTGTTTACTTCAGATCCGCTGAAGCTATCCGGTATGTGTCGAATCTTTACAATATCTGTTTAATTAATCTTTTAATTTAGTGGTTACATTATTTAAATTGTTCAATAAATTAATGTATTACCTTACTTTAATAAAATCCTTTAGCGTAATTCAATTGTGCGCAAACCATGCGAAATTAATGTTTACAATCTGAAATGTTGTTGCAATTAGTTTCACAATTCTAATGTGCAATATCATTTGCTTACCATGTAGCCACTTTTGTTTGGAGAATTTTAGGCTATTTAGGTATTAACTAATTTACTAACTTTTAAGGTTACTAAGAAGGAATAGTAGTTCAATTAATAACAATGGTTTGTAATGACAAATTTTGCTCTTCAAGTGTTCTCAATTTATTCTCGCTTGACGTTTCAGCAATCCTCTCGATGAACGCTGGGTGTGTCTTCGTTGACGGAGGGGTTTTCGCCAAAGGGCGTAACAGTCCCCCTCAGTACGCTGGTCCCCTGGTCCTGCTTACTAGAGGTTACTCCGACGTCTAATACAGCCAGCTTCACTGCCGGCCTTTCATACAATCCATGAGCTGTTTGTACAGTTGCACTGCGGACTTGCCCACCTTTCTCCTTTACATCCACTACCCGCCCCTTAGGCCAAGAGTTGCGTGGAAGATTAGAATCAACTACTATCACGATGTCACCAATTTGTATAGGTGTGACTGGCTGATGCCATTTCGTTCGGCGACAGATGCTCGGTAAGTACTCCTGAATCCATCTTTTCCAGAAATGGTTGGCGTAGACTTGAGATGTTTTCCATGTATTTTTGAGAGTCGCTGCACGATCGTCGAATGGAATTAATGGTTTTAACCCACTAGATGACCCCATCAAGAAGTGGTTCGGTGTTAAAGCAGGCTCAGCTTCGTAGTCAATAGGGATGTACGTAAGCGGTCTAGAATTAATTGTGCTTTCAATTTCCATTAGCGTTGTCCGAAGAACTTCGTCAGTGGGAAGTCTGGGAAATTGCATTTGCCCTAGGATTTTTTTAACCGACTGTATTAAACGTTCCCAGCTTCCACCCATATGGGGGCTGTTGGGTGGATTAAATGACCACTTTGTATGGCTTGTAACGAACTCTTCCATTAATTTTGTTTCATTAATAGTTTGAACTGCCTCGGTAAGTTCCCTGTTGGCTCCAATAAAGTTGGTGCCTCTATCGCTATAAATGCAGACAGGTATACCGCGTCTCGCCATAAAGTTTCGTAAAGTCATTATACATGAACTTGTGTTTAACGTATGCGCAATTTCCAAATGAACCGCCCGTACTACTAAGCAGGTCAAAAGAACCCCCCACCTCTTCTCAACGCGTCGTCCAACGATAACATGCATAGGACCAAAATAGTCAATTCCCACATGTGAGAAAGGTGGGGCATATGCTTCTAGCCTAGCCAATGGCAGGTCTGCCATTGCCGGAGGTCTAGGCAAAACAGTGTTGTTTTTGCATCTTTGACATCTCTTTCGAACCTGGTCACACACTCTACGTAACCTGGGTATCACGTATTTTTTACGAAGTTCATTCACAACGGTTTCGTTATTACAATGGTGATATTTCTCGTGCTCGTATCGCACTACAAGTTGTGTCACATGGTGTTCTCTGGGCAGCACGATAGGACTTGCAGTATAAGGACCAATAAATCTACACCTTCTACCTCGTCCTCCCATCCTAATCACGCCTTTCTCGTCGATATGTGGTGACAAGTTGTAAATACTACTTCGTTTAGGTAATACGTACTCACCAATACTATCCGACTGAGATGCCAGCTGTAGGATCACAATCTCTTCTGCGTATGAGGATCGCTGTGCACACTGGTAGGCGTAACACTCTGCTAACAATAATTCTTCTTGAGTTACCGAGCCAACTATTTTAGGCTGTCCATTCAGCTTTCTCCGGATGTTCAAAGGGAACCGTCTAATGAAGACAATTCGACGTAACAGGCGCCACCAGCTCGAAAAATTTTCTGTTCTAATCACGTCCTCTACAACTGAGTGATGATTTACCGTACGCCGCAGTTCTACAGTTGACACATGTTGATCTGTTGGTGGCCCAGGCCATTCCTGTTTCGGCTTCCATAGAAATTCCGGTCCACGAAACCAGCGTCCAGATGGTGTGAGATCGGGGGCTCGTTGCCATTTAGTTCCGTCGTCTGCCACATTTTTACGTGAAGGTATCCAATTCCACTCCGCAATTTCGGTTGTCTCCAATATTTCGCCCACTCTAAATCCAACAAATTGACTAAATCGTCGATGATCCGATGCTAACCAGTATAGGACGTCTCTGGAATCGGTCCAAAAATAACGCTCCTGGATTTTTAGCCGGTGGTTTTCAGCTATACTTTTCGCCAATCGAGCTCCAACGACAGCTGCTTGGAGCTCAAGTCGGGGAATCGAAACAAATTTTAGGGGTGCAACACGCGTCTTCGCAGTTACTAGGGAGCATTCAATTACGCCATTCTCTTCGAACCGTAGATAAGCTACTGCTGCATATCCCTCGATACTAGCATCAACAAAAATATGCAATTGGATCTTATTCGTTTCCACATTGTTGGATGTTTTGATGCGATAGCACCTTGGAATGGACACATCTTCCACCTTGGGTAGTTCCTTAAGCCAAATTCGCCATTTGATGAATTGTGCTTCCCCGATTGGCTCGTCCCACTCTGTTCCGCTTCGCCATATTTCTTGGAGGAGAACTTTAAGGAACATAAGAAGATTCCCCAGCAGACCTAATGGATCAAATATGGTCATAAGTGTCCTTAAAATTTCTCTTTTAGTTGGTACTCTACTCCCTTCCAGTAGCTCTTGCTCGTGCTTAACTGATAGGCGAAACGTGAACACATCTGCAGCAGTATTCCACCACATTCCTAGGACCTTTTCAGTTGCCAATTCAGAATCGATATTGAGATTTTTATCAGAATTAGGCTGTTCTTTAAGCAACTCTGACACATGTCTTGAATTGGATAACCATCCACGTATGTCAAACCCTGCTTGTCCATGGATGAATTGAATTTGTCGAATAAGTTCTAACGCCTCAGCTTCTGTCTCCACGCTGCTCAAAAGATCATCCACGTAATGATCTTTCACGATGACTTCTACTGCCCTGGGATATTGACTTTCAAATCGTTGTGCGTTAGTGTTCTTAACGAATTGCGCACAGCTAGGAGAGCAGGTTGCACCAAATGTCATTACTTGTACAACGTAGACAGACAGGCTGGATCCGGGTAGCCCATTATGCCAAAAGAATCTTTGGCAATGCTGGTCAATTGCATTCATCAAAACTTGCAGAAACATTTCTCGTATGTCTGCGGCTATCGCAACAAGGAATTCACGGAAACGTTGTAGTACAGCAACCAACGATGCGACTTGATCAGGACCTTTCAATAAGAAGGAATTCAGCGAAGTTCCTCGTGCCATTGCAGCTGCATCCCAAACAATGCGAAGCTTTCCTGGTTTGTTGACGTTCACTACTGGAAAAATGGGAAGATACCACACTCGCAACTGAGAGGCCTTCAGCTCTTCTTCCGTTAGCTCGCGAATATAACCTTTCTCCACGTAGTCCCGTATTTTCGCCTGCATGGCTATCGCTAGTTCCGGTTCTCGCAGCATTCGTTTCTCCAAACATTGAAAACGTTTTAGTGCCATCGGTTGACTATCTGGCAGCTGTACATCATCGAACTTCCATAACAGACTTGTCTCGTATCTGTGTCCCTTCAACTTGGTGTTGCTTTGTAGTATATCCAATGCTCGTTCGTCTGCCTTCGACAATAATGGTCGACTAGGAGCTTGTATACCAATACTGTCAAACGAGAAGTAGTCCTTTACAGCAAAGTGTAGAGCTTCGCATTCACAAATGTGGAAATTATGCTCAATTCGTCCTTCCATACGTTCTCCAATAGAACATGGTCCATAAATCAGCCATCCTAGCGGAGTTTTAGCCGCGACCGGTTGGTCGTCTCCTCCTTCCTTGCAGTCAACCAGACGCGCTAAATGAACATTGTCCATTCCGATGAGAATACGTGGTCTAACGTTTTTATAAGAATCCATAGGGAGACCGACCAGGTGGTGGTAATGTTGACACAAATCATCCATCACGATGGACTGCGCTGGTAATTGCAAACTTTTTACCGTATGGATGTTTGTCATGCGGTTTCTCTCCGGTGGGTGTCCTTGTGCTGCAGATATTTCGATTGCACACCTTACAGAGTCATTTTCGTACCTATTTTGACCACCTGTCCAACTGATGCAAAGTGGATATGGCTCACCAGCAACGTCCAGTTCTTCCCAAAGACTATGTTCCATCAGGGAGCACGTAGATCCCTCATCTATAAACGCATAAGTCTTAACAGCTCTTTGTCGACTGTATATGATAACTTCAACGTACTTTAGCAATACGGTGCCAAGGCAACAGTGGTGGGTATTGCAATGTTGATTTGTGTTCACTGCGCGTACTCCTTGGTAACTGGAAGAGGTGTTAGGGCTCGATATGTTTCGACTGGGTCGGTGTCGAAATTTGTCATGCAGCAGTGGGTGGTGAAGGAATGTACACCCGTCTTCGTTACAAGGTTGATTCACTTCGCACGTACTGAAATGTTTCTTGAGGCACTTTCGGCATATTTTATTGTCCTTGATTAGCGTCCATCGAGCTTGCGTATTCATTTCCAGGAACGCGCTGCAGTCAGTAATCGTTGTACATCTTCCTCCGCAAGCAAGGCAACATTTTCCTTCGCTGTTTGGCGTTGCTTCAGTGTGGGTGTGAAGAAATGCTTCCTCCTTATTGCGGCGTTTTTCCTGCTTTTGACACCGGTAAACCACGATAGGTACAGTAACTTTGCTAAATGCATCTACAAGATTTCCGATCCATTCACTGAAATCTTTCAAAGTAACAGCTTGCTTCGATTGGCGATGTAGTGCCCAATTCATTTTAATGGAGGGTGGGAGCAGGTCAGTTAGTTCATGCAGCAGTGCAACATTATAGAGACATTCTTCCATCCGACATGCTTCAATTGTTGCGCATAAATTTTGCACTGCGACGCCAAAGTCAATAATGCTCTCCATCTTATCTGCCTTCGGAGCTGGCATCATGCGGATACGTTTGATCATTGTTTCAACGATTACCTCAGGGTTTCCAAATAGTGTTTTGAGGCGGGAAATAATCGTTGATACATTCTCAGGATGAAGAAGTAGGCTTTTCACTGCAGAAAGCGCTCGATCGTACAGGCTTCTTTCCAATCTATCTAGCAGTTCATCGTTCCGGAATGCGCACATTCTAGTAGTTCGCTCATAAGCTGCTATAAACCGAGGCCAGTCTTCAGGATCTCCTCCAAACCTGGGTAAATCTTTCACGGTCTGACGCGCTGCCAGATGCGATCTGGTTAGTGACATTTCTGGTTGATTTGGTGATTGATGGTTAGGTAAAGGTGATTCATCCAAAACTGTAGGTGCGAGAGATTCCCTGCCCATTTCATCCGTCTTCTTTAGCCATTCTTTTATTTTCGCTATAGTGTCTGAACCGGTGTCTTCGTCTTCCGCTTCACTCGCACTCTCCTCCAGTAGCGCCTGTTCCAGTTCTAACCGCTCTACCAACTGCTTCCGTTCTAATAGCTGCTTGGCCTCCAATGCTTTCAACTGGTGTTCACGTAGCTTCGCCGACCGCTTTGAGTACTTTGACGACTGACTTTTGTTGTCCACATTTGATTTGACCTCAGTTGCCTGTGGCACCTTTACAGGCTTTTTCACAGCACCGGTATATCCAGGCGCTTTGGAGTGCACAGGCTTCACTGGTTGTTGCGAAAATTGATGATCAGTTTGTTGCTGCATTTGCTGTACCTGACGTTTATGTTGGCTTCTTTCGGTTGTTAGAATCCGTTGCATCGTCTTTAACTGCTCTACGAGATCACGGTTCATCTTGAAAACATCATCCTGAGTTTGTGACTTTACGGGTGTGGAGTGAGTAACCTGCTGACGATGTTGATCACCTTGTGGCTGCTGCAATTGTCGGTGCTGCTGCTGCAATTGTTGCTGCTGCTGTTGCAATACTTGCTGCTCCACTTGTTCCTGTGAGTCGTCATGGTTTTCACCACCACAGTTCTTACAACTCCAATCCACATGTTCGATACCATCAGTTACATTCACGCACTCGTAGTGGTACCACACGTCACATTCATCACACTGTACCATACGTGTGTATTCCAACTTGTGACATTCTCCACAGCCAGTGTCTGCCCACAACTGGTGATCATCATTCGGAGCCCTTTGTCCTCCGACTGCTCCCTGACTCGATGACATTGCGCCGGACAGCTTAAACGGAAATTATAATTTGTTACCGTTACTGGTAACAAATCAGTCAGTCTTTCCGGATATTTAACAGTCCATGAAGTAATTTGTTCGAGAGAGTTATAATTTCCCTAAAGAGTAACAATCAAAGTTTACATAATGTTCAGCGTAGTTATTTTAGGTTAACTTACGTTTAGTGTTTACTTCAGATCCGCTGAAGCTATCCGGTATGTGTCGAATCTTTACAATATCTGTTTAATTAATCTTTTAATTTAGTGGTTACATTATTTAAATTGTTCAATAAATTAATGTATTACCTTACTTTAATAAAATCCTTTAGCGTAATTCAATTGTGCGCAAACCATGCGAAATTAATGTTTACAATCTGAAATGTTGTTGCAATTAGTTTCACAATTCTAATGTGCAATATCATTTGCTTACCATGTAGCCACTTTTGTTTGGAGAATTTTAGGCTATTTAGGTATTAACTAATTTACTAACTTTTAAGGTTACTAAGAAGGAATAGTAGTTCAATTAATAACAATGGTTTGTAATGACAAATTTTGCTCTTCAAGTGTTCTCAATTTATTCTCGCTTGACGTTTCAGCAATCCTCTCGATGAACGCTGGGTGTGTCTTCGTTGACGGAGGGGTTTTCGCCAAAGGGCGTAACAGTTAAAGTTAAGTTAAAGTTGAGTTAAAGTTGAGTTAAATTAAGTTAAAATTAAGTTAAAGTTAAGTTAAAGTTAAGTTAAAGTTAAGTTAAAGTTAAGTTAAAGTTAAGTTAAAGTTAAGTTAAAGTTCAGTTAAAGTTAAGGTAAAGTTAAGTTAAAGTTGAGTTAAATTAAGTTAAAATTAAGTTAAAGTTAAGTTAAAGTTAAGTTAAAGTTAAGTTAAAGTTAAGATAAAGTTGAGTTAAAGTTAAGTTAAAGTTAAGTTAAAGTTAAGTTAAAGTTAAGTTAAAGTTAAGTTAAAGTTTAGTTAAAGTTAAGTTAAAGTTAAGTTAAAGTTAAGTTAAAGTTAAGTTAAAGTTAAGTTAAAGTTAAGTTAAAGTTAAGATAAAGTTGAGTTAAAGTTGAGTTAAAGTTAAGTTAAAGTTAAGTTAAAGTTAAGTTAAAGTTAGGTAAAATTTAAGTAAAAGTTAAGTAAAAGTTAAGTTAAAGTTAAGTTAAAATTAAGTTAAAGTTAAGTTAAAGTTAAGATAAAAATGAGTTAAAGTTGAGTTAAAGTTAAGTTAAAGTTAAGTTAAAGTTAAGTTAAAGTTAGGTAAAATTTAAGTAAAAGTTAAGTTAAAGTTGAGTTAAAGTTAAGTTAAAGTTAAGTTAAAGTTAAGTTAATGTTAAGTAAAAGTTAAGTTAAAGTTAAGTTAAAGTTAAGTTAAAGTTAAGTTAAAGTTAAGTTAAAGTTAAGTTAAAGTTAAGTTAAAGTTAAATTTAAGTTAAAGTTAAGTTAAAGTTAAGTTAAAGTTAAGTTAAAGTTAAGTTAAAGTTGAGTTAAGTTTAAGTTAAGTTTAAGTTAAGTTAAAGTTAAGTAAAAGTTATGTCAAAAATAAGTTAAAGTTAAGTTAAAGTTAAGTTAAAGTTAAGTTAAAGTTAAGTTAAAGTTAAGTTTAAGTTAAGTTAAAGTTAAGTAAAAGTTAAGTAAAAAATAAGTTAAAGTTAAGTTAAAGTTAAGTTAAAGTTAAGTTAAAGTTAAGTTAAAGTTAAGTTAAAGTTTAGTTAAAGTTAAGTTAAAGTTAAGTTAAAGTTAAGTTAAAGTTGAGTTAAAGTTTAGTTAAATTAAGTTAAAATTAAGTTAAAGTTAAGTTAAAGTTAAGTTAAAGTTAAGTTAAAGTTAAGTTAAAGTTAAGTTAAAGTTAAGTTAAAGTTAAGTTAAAGTTAAGTTACAGTTAAGTTAAAGTTAAGTTAAAGTTGAGTTAAATTAAGTTAAAGTTAAGTAAAAGTTAAGTAAAAGTTAAGTTAAAGTTAAGTTTAAGTTAAGTTAAAGTTAAGTAAAAGTTAAGTAAAAAATAAGTTAAAGTTAAGTTAAAGTTAAGTTAAAGTTAAGTTAAAGTTAAGTTAAAGTTAAGTTAAAGTTTAGTTAAAGTTAAGTTAAAGTTAAGTTAAAGTTAAGTTAAAGTTGAGTTAAAGTTTAGTTAAATTAAGTTAAAATTAAGTTAAAGTTAAGTTAAAGTTAAGTTAAAGTTAAGTTAAAGTTAAGTTAAAGTTAAGTTAAAGTTAAGTTAAAGTTAAGTTAAAGTAAAGTTTAAGTTAAATTTAAGTTAAGTTAAAATGAAGTTAAAGTTAAGTTAAAGTTGAGTTAAAGTTAAGTTAAAGTTAAGTTAAAGTTGAGTTAAAGTTGAGTTAAATTAAGTTAAAATTAAGTTAAAGTTAAGTTAAAGTTAAGTTAAAGTTAAGTTAAAGTTAAGTTAAAGTTAAGTTAAAGTTAAGTTAAAGTTAAGTTAAAGTTAAGTTATAGTTAAGTTAAAGTTGAGTTAAAGTTAAGTTAAAGTTACGTTAAAGTTACGTTAAAGTTAAGTTAAAGTTAAGTTAAAGTAAAGTTTAAGTTAAATTTAAGTTAAGTTAAAATGAAGTTAAAGTTAAGTTAAAGTTAAGTTAAAATGAAGTTAAAGTTAAGTTAAAGTTGAGTTAAAGTTGAGTTAAAGTTAAGTTAAAGTTGAGTTAAATTAAGTTAAAATTAAGTTAAAGTTAAGTTAAAGTTAAGTTAAAATTAAGTTAAAGTTAAGTTAAAGTTAAGTTAAAGTTGAGTTAAAGTTAAGTTAAAGTTAAGTTATAGTTAAGTTAAAGTTGAGTTAAAGTTAAGTTAAAGTTACGTTAAAGTTACGTTAAAGTTAAGTTAAAGTTAAGTTAAAGTTAAGTTTAAGTTAAATTTAAGTTAAGTTAAAATGAAGTTAAAGTTAAGTTAAAGTTGAGTTAAAGTTGAGTTAAATTAAGTTAAAATTAAGTTAAAGTTAAGTTAAAGTTAAGTTAAAGTTGAGTTAAATTAAGTTAAAATTAAGTTAAAGTTAAGTTGTAGTTAAGTTAAAGTTAAGTTAAAGTTAAGTTAAATTTAAGTTAAAGTTAAGTTAAAGTTAAGTTAAAGTTAAAGTTAAGTTAAAGTTAAGTTCAAGTAAAGTTAAAGTTAAGCTAAAGTTAAGTTAAAGTTAAGTTAAAGTTAAGTTAAAGTTAAGTTAAAGTTAAGTTAAAGTTAAGTTAAAGTTAAGTTAAAGTTAAGTTAAAGTTAAGTTAAAGTTAAGTTAAAATAAAGTTAAAGTTAAGTTAAAGTTAAGTTAAAGTTAAGTTAAAGTTGAGTTAAAGTTGAGTTAAAGTTGAGTTAAGTTAAGTTAAGTTAAAGTTAAGTTAAAGTTAAGTTAAAGTTAAGTTAAAGTTAAGTTTAAGTTAAGTTAAAATGAAGTTAAAGTTAAGTTAAAGTTGAGTTAAAGTTGAGTTAAATTAAGTTAAAATTAAGTTAAAGTTAAGTTAAAGTTAAGTTAAAGTTGAGTTAAATTAAGTTAAAATTAAGTTAAAGTTAAGTTAAAGTTAAGTTAAAGTTAAGTTAAAGTTAAGTTAAAGTTAAGTTAAAGTTAAGTTAAAGTTAAGTTAAAGTTAAGTTAAAGTTGAGTTAAAGTTGAGTTAAAGTTGAGTTAAGTTAAGTTAAGTTAAAGTTAAGTTAAAGTTAAGTTAAAGTTAAGTTAAAGTTAAGTTTAAGTTAAGTTAAAATGAAGTTAAAGTTAAGTTAAAGTTGAGTTAAAGTTGAGTTAAATTAAGTTAAAATTAAGTTAAAGTTAAGTTAAAGTTAAGTTGAAGTTAAGTTAAAGTTAAGTTAAAGTTAAGTTAAAGTTAAGTTAAAGTTAAGTTAAAGTTCAGTTAAAGTTAAGTTGAAGTTGAGTTAAAATTTAGTTAAATTAAGTTAAAATTAAGTTAAATATAAGTTAAAGTTAAGTTAAAGTTCAGTTAAAGTTAAGTTGAAGTTGAGTTAAAGTTTAGTTAAATTAAGTTAAAGTTCAGTTAAAGTTAAGTTAAAGTTAAGTTAAAGTTAAGTTAAAGTTAAGTTAAAGTTAAGTTAAAGTTAAGTTAAAGTTAAGTTAAAGTTAAGTTAAAGTTAAGTTAAAGTTAAGTTAAAGTTAAGTTAAAGTTAAGTTAAAGTTAAGTTAAAGTTAAGTTAAAGTTAAGTTAAAGTTACGTTAAAGTTAAGTTAAAGTTTAGTTAAAGTAAAGTTAAGTTTAAGTTAAGTTTAAGTTAAATTAAAGTTAAGTTAAAGTTAAGTTTAAGTTAAGTTAAAGTTAAGTTAAAGTTAAGTAAAAGTTAAGTTAAAGTTAAGTTAAAGTTAAGTTAAAGTTATGTTAAAGTTAAGTTAAAGTTAAGTTAAAGATAAGTTTAAGATAAGTTAAAGTTAAGTTAAAGTTAAGTTAAAGTTAAGTTAAAGTTGAGTTAAAGTTAAGTTAAAGTTAAGTTTAAGTTAAGTTAAAGTTAAGTTAAATCATTTTATATTCTGATTATACTCACGAGTGCGTGTGCGTGCGTGTGTGTAATTTCATGCGCCGGGCTACCAAATGGCGGATGAAACTTAGCAATTTTTTTGTGATTTTTTTTTCGCGGTGGCTGTCAGTCATCTTTTCATATCGTGCGAGTGGAGAAGTGCTTTTTTTATCCGCGCCACGAAAATGGCCTCCGATGGCCATCTTAGGAGAGCAGCGAATGGAATATGGAAGGTAAATATGGTAAATATTCTGCATGCAAATTGTGCATGATAATAATTGATGTTGACATTTTTTTCAGCCAGATCCAGTACAATTCCGGATTATCGGAGGTAGAGCTGGCGACAAGAAGTTGAATAGGGTAAGTATTAAACTGTTTGTGTTATTAATTGACATAATTTTTGAAAATTGATCCGCTGGAGGAATCCGGCTAAGTTAAGCATTCTTACTGATGCAACGCATCAATAAGGATGTTTAATTCATCCGGATTCCTCCGGCGGATCAATTTTGATGTAATTGTTTTTCAAAATTGATCCGCTGGAGGAATCCGGCTGAGT